ATAGAATACACTGATTTCGTTGCAGCTTGTCTCTTAGAACTTTTAGTTCTTAAAGTTTCACCAGCATTTTCTCTGTTCACTGTTTGTCATTCAGCTGAAACATTCGGGGATAATAAAAAAAAAAAACTTTTTCACTGTTTCACATGCTCTGAGTTTTTCTAAAGGTTGGCAGACGGCGGAAAAATCTATTCTTTGGCCAGTTGCATGCCATAGTCTGATTCACCAGATATACAATTGGCAACTTTTCTGGTCGCTTTGCCCAGTGCATTGTAGTCCGTGCTGGCAGCTGTGACGTCCCCTTTGTTTCTGAAAGAATTCTTTCTGGGTAATTGTGCGTTACGGAAGTGTTTTCTATCACTTGGTGTCATTTGCACATCCAAATGGCCGCCTCAATGCACTGACAATTCGTTCCAAATGGTCATCGGACTATGCAAACTCGTTCCTTTACTTCCATTAGCGTCCACTGATAATGTGCCCTGCGGTGCATCCAAACTCGTGCCTGCTGTTTTCATGCATTGGAAGTTGTAAATGGCAATTTTCCAAACATTTGTAGGAAGCAGAACATTTCCAGAAGGGCAGCTTGCACGTATCAAATTACACAAGCATTCCATGAAATTGAAAGAGACGAAGAAAGGGGGATGGGGCGATGGTTTCGGAATGCGAGTGATTGCCATACTTCTTTTTTATGGCTTAATATGCCATACTTTCATGTGCTTTACATCGAGTTTGTCTGCGCGTTCACTTGGATAATTTTAAATAATGCGTGAGTGTATACTTGCAACGCACAAATTGTATTTACATATTTTTCTGTGTTTTTGCTGTTCAACGCTAAGAACCAGGGGTGACAACGCGTATTGTCCTTGTACATGTGTGAGCTAAAGATTTCAAATTCATTTATAATGTACGCTTACGCTTCGCCTACAGCCATTTCGAATTTTGCTTCCTTGACAATTTTCGCGCCATTCCGAAAATCCTTCTGTTTACAAGAGCTTGTAATATATCATTCAGCTTTACACTATCAAATACTTTTTCGCAATTGAAGAATATGAGCCAAAGACAAAGTTTATGATCCTTTCCATTCCCCAGCTGCCAGTCCATCTGCTAAGATCGCCAGCAGGATGACCACCAAGTGATGCAGAAATTGGTCATAGCAGTTATGAAAGGAAACCGAAGTATGAGCGCCCAAATGTAATGTCGCTAGGTTTTCGGTTAACGTATTTTTGTTTTTATCTGAAATTACCAATCTTGAGCAAATTTTCGGTACATTTTGGTGGTTGTCATTCCAGCTTGCTACAAAATAAGGGAGGATGAGCATCATCCCTTTACTCCTTGCATGCACTCGCCCTTCCCTCATCTCTCCTTAATTCAACTTTGTTATAATTTAAATAGCTAGATTTTACCTGTGTTTCGGTATGAGATATTTTTCTTTGCTAAGTGTTAGTCGCTTGGGAACCCTCACTTTCGTATTCTTTTTCAGGTCTTGAAGTATTTTGTACTGCTAGATTAGCTATTGGCTGCATAGAAAAATGGATGGAAAAAAATGGATAGGTGGATTAATTCGGTTTTATTCGAAGATGCTGTCATGGTAACAAAAGGATATTGCTGCTTTCGCTATATATGCTCTAATCAGCCGACATTCCATTGATTGTGCATCTTTGTATTAAAAGTGCAGCATTTTTAAGCCTTGCAAGCGAGACTGCATCGCCTGGTGGCCAACCCGCTAGTGAGCTTGACATTCTCACTTTTTTATTTGAAAAATACTAAATGTATTGTATTCTCTCAGCTATCACCCATCAGCCATCCAAACACAGAAGGGAAGTTGGGTGCTAATATTATAAGAATTCCTAAGAAAACCTCATTTCTGATATAGACCACAGCAGAAAATAATCTGCTCCCATAATTTCGCAGTACAAAACTGAACTATTATTGTAGTGGCGCGATATGATTGAAAGGGCAAGCACCCGCCACACAACCTGTGTATCTAAGGCAGAACAGACCAATGAGATGTGAGTACAGCATCGAGGACATAAGGGTCACTACAGCGCCACAGCGGAAGTCATCACTAGAAAAGACGTCACAGCAGCTGCAACGCAACTGAGAGCAGCTGTTTTATATTTGTGATTTTACGCCTGTAGCGATTGGTGTTTGAGAATAGTGAGGATTGTAGGCAATGCCATATTATTGTGTGTATTGAGTTTTTTTTTTTTGCTGAGTAAAGTATTGTTGGTTTAGCGGATCCAAAAAAAGTATTTATAATTTTAAATCTTTATGAATCATTTCGTGCAGTGAGAACTGTATCCTGTTGTTAAAATTTGTTGAACTTTATTCATGTAAAAAAGAAGTATTGGCAAGTTTTTACCCTTAGTACACAATCGGTTTTATTTTTGTAATCATCCTTTTGCATTTCTCTCTGGGCCTTATGTGATATCTGCAAATTTTTTTCTCATTTTGAAAAACTGCTGGCCAAAGAGCAAGTTATTTTATTCTCAGGTACAAAATGAAACTGCACATGAAATTCTTTCAATCCCATCCCCAAACTCCATTGCCCCAGGGATGACCATGGCCGTGACCAAATCCATGATGCCCATGATGATGATCAAACAATCCGTGATGTCCAAAGTGATGACCAAACAGTCCGTGGGGTCCGTGATGATGATCGAATATACCGTGGTGTCCATGATGATACGGATGATCACTCCAGTCATCATCCCACCATCCCGACGCACTAACTGTTGCCATTATCACTGACAGCAATACCAAGGCAGCTCGGAGTGCCATAATTCGAATCTAAACTTACATCTATTATCAGAATCAAGGTACGAACACGTCTAAATACAGTACTTTTCAAATACCATATGATTTAATACCGGCTGCGATTGGTTTGGGCTACATGCCTCAATTTCCAGTTCCTTCTGAATTTTCAATTCCTAGTTCACGTGGCAGAAACCAGGGATCCAGAATCATCATTAACTTATTTACTTTTAAGCAGCTCCGGAAAAAGACAGTTATCTAGAGCTTTGCCAGCGGGTAATTGCTGTTTTTTAAACTATTCGAGCTAACTTCCCCAGTGCCCTCTTTCGGACGGCGAATGCGAAAGGTGTTTTGGCTTTTTTGACTTGAGTTAAGATCTCAAACATTAGATCCAGTAAGATGAGCATCTGAATGAACAGAATTAACTGGTTTCCTGGTTGTATTA